TTATTCGTATGTCCTGAGTTCTTACTAAGTGTATTTATTAGATCTTGGAGTTTTTATTTAATTTCCTGGGGTTTTCTACATCTTCAAATAGTGTTGATTTTATTTCTTCTTATACAGTTAGCATTCATTATTAACTTTCCCATTACACTGGCAAAAATCTTCAATACTATATTGGCTAAGAATGCTGAGGAAAGATACCTTTGCCTTTTTCATGATCATATATAAGAAATCTTAAATAGGTACTTTTTCACTTTATATATTATGTTAGCTATTACTTTCTTGAAGATGTTTCTTTAGGAAGCTAAAAAAAAAATCCCTTCTGCTCCTAGTTCACCGAGAGTTTATATAATGAATGTAATATGATGTATGAATGTTTATATGATGTAGTATCAAATATATCAAATATTTTACCTGCGTCAGCTAAGGTAACCTTATAATTTTGCTTAATAAATCATTTTTAAAATATCAAATTTGGTGAGAACAATTCTCTACCATGGAATTAATGATGCACATACAAGTGATTTTGTTATACCTAAATAATGCAAGATAAATGACAGGATAATAAATTCTCTTTAGCCTAATTCTTTATATATTGCATTATTATTTTTTTAGTGACTATGGGTAGCAATTGGCTGCTGGAATTACCTTTTGTTTTAATGTTATGCTTCCTAATATTGCTAGTCTAAGTAGAAACGTAAAGTAACTTAGACTAGGTATTAAATTAGGATAGCTAAAGTGAATCAAATAAAGTCAAATTACAAAAATAACATACATTGTTAAATGAAATAATACAACTCATGTTACAAAAACCATGAAGATATTTTTCTTTTTTAACATAACATAAACATGATACCTACAAGATGTATATATTTGAGATTAGAGAGTAGGGGAAAAAAATCAGATTTGACTTCAGAGAAGATAGTTTCATCTGAAACCTAGCTGAATTGTTAAATGAATTCACTGCTCTAATGCAGTTGGATACACAGTTTTGAAAATCACAATAGGATTTACCCTGAGAGAAGACTATGGCGCTCTAGCCCTGTGTTTCTGTGTGTTGAAGAGGCGGCTGTCTTGCTGTGCCCCCACTTCTCGAAGGCGCCGGCTCTAAGTGTTTATGTTCCACTCCCTGTGTGTCCTCTGCTGCCTTCCTCTAGAGCCTGAAGGTCCAGCTTACTCACTGGCAAACAGGAAAGTGCTGATCTGTATCATAAGCACTGATAACCGCCCACCATCTGTCTAAGAAGTGGATGTCCAGAGAGGGTTAGAGATCCTATCCAGGGGACCTCAATAAAATGTCGGCTACATGTGAAGTCAGCCACAGAAATGTCAATTTTCCAGGTATCTATTTAGAAATGTGTCCATCTCCACTGAAGTGTTCAAGATGTTTTCTCTCAGATAACATATCTCTTACTTTATGAGATTTGTTCTGGCTACAGCTTCACCTTGAGTTTAATAATTGGAGAGAAATAATTTAGGATTCAGTTACTGTTTTTTAATTAAATAGATCGCAACCCTGATCTCACTGCTTACTAGAGCTTTATATTTCAGATATGTTTTCTTTTTTTTAGTCAAACATTTTCTTTCTCTAAAGAAATAATTATTTTGTAGAAAGTGTTTTCAATTTGGAGAAGACAGAGAGACATTTGTTCTTGGGACAGGAAGAGTCATTATAAAGTGCTATTGACTCAACTTGACTGATGAATAGATGCTGATGGATGGAAGCCCGTAGATGGTAAAAAATGTGTAGAAATAAGGAAGACAATGGATTTATGATGCTAAACAATATGTCAAGGTTAAAGTCTTATACTAACAACAGAAGGGGAATTTTGAAATGTCAAGATAGTAAACAAATACTATTTTCTTATGTTTGAACTTATTTCATAGTCACAGAGTTCCCCCCTGTTTTCCTCATATATCCTGCTATTGTTGAAATACAGAGGTAGTGCTGTGGCAATAGCACTTTTTGTTAAGAACTCTTTTTGTTAATATGACTTTATATTTCTCCCAGAGACATATATTTACATTTCTGTTTAGCTATGCATGCAGAAGAAGTACAGAATAATTGTACTGTATTTAAACACTGAAGTGGGGAAATTAGATCAATTATAACCATTTCCTATACCAACAAAGACCCAAACACTTAAATATTAGATTTACTGGAAATATCTGACTATGTACTCATACAATGCATTTACTCTTAATATTGATAGCATACAAATTATGTAATTTATTCAAAATGTTATATTTCATTATGTAACTAGTAAGTTACGATTGTCTGATGATAATATTAGTTCTCCATTTTCTTTGTTCTGTGTGATTAATGTATTAAGTTGATAATTCGAATATATATTTATCAGTTGGCTATTGTCACAATAATGCCACATATAAAATATCTACCACTTAGTGGATTATGCCTAGCTTATTAATTTTATCACTTATGGGATTGTGGGCTGGTTTGCATGTCTCTACTCCACTCTGTTTGTGGGCTGTGCTAAACTATACAGACTTGGCTGGTTCAAATCTACTCCACAGGAATCAACTTTCTCTTTTATCAGTGGTTGCCCAGGGCATGACGTGGTGGATCATGAGAGCAGAAAGGTCATGCCAAGAAGCACAAGCTCATTTGAGGCCTCTTCCTACTTCATGACCACTAATATTCCATTATCAAGGACGAGCTTAACATCAAGTAGACAGAAAAGTGAACCCTATCCACTGCAAAGAAGAACTGAAATGACTGTGCCCAATTAAAGTTGTTATTCTGCTAGCTTTTTGCAATAATTTATGTATAAGTAGTGGTAAATATATAGCTTAAACTTCTTACAATAACACTTAATTTTTGAAGTTGATATATTAATGAGAAAAATCCAGTGAGAGCAGCTTCCTGTATAAAGCCCTCCAAATCACCTTGGTTTCCTCTCCTCTAATCCCTTTTCCCTACATTTGGATTCTACTACCAGGTGCCATTTTTAGATCATACAAATGCATTCTAATTTTACCACTCTTTGATCAGAAACCCTTTAAGTGAACAATGTAAACTAATGTTACCTCAATAAACATAACTGAAGAAAAACTTTTCAAGTTGTTCCCTATTATCTGTAAAGTTAAGCCTAAAGACCAAATCCAGTAATTTATAATTTGAAGCACTCTGCAAAATAGATTATACTATTTCCAAATCTTGCATTCTCATTGTTCTCCTTCATGTGTTCATTTTATCATATTTATGCTTCTTTAACATCTGCTCATCAAGTTCTCTCAGTCTGGAACTGCCAGTACCAATTTTATTACTACATGGACGTATCCTAGTTATCCTTAAAAACCAAGATCAGATGTCACCTCCTTCTTGAACTTTCTGCATCCTCACAACCTGAAGTAATCGCCTTCTTTACAAATCTCATATTTTCTGCATATTTTATGGCATCTGTCATTTTCTAAATTATATTATTATCTGTGGCTTATCACTGCTATGGAAATGCCATAATCTTAAATCTTACCAAATCTTACTAAATATATTTCCCAAATATTAAAACTATTTAATTGATAAGTAAATTTATCAGGTCATCAATATCCTAAGTAATTCTGTTTGGTTCTGCTATTCATGTCAATAAGCTTAAGTGGCTTCCTTAAATAAAGTCAGTCCACATTGGAATAAAAGATGTGCAAACTACATTTCTTGCTTTAGCTTGTTCCATATAGAGTTATTCGCAATAAGCAGTACAGTAGTATGAATTGCTTTGGTTTCAGAATAACTTGTCCTATATACCATCTAGAACTATATCAAGAAATGGGCCTTTGAAAGCATTTTTAACTTCCGGAAATCTCTGATTGTGCAATTAACCTATAGTTTTATCTAACTTAGACTCTTTGAAGAGGTCATATACACTGAAAAAAACTGCACCTTTGACATCCTGTGTCTGAGGAGAGCTGCAGCTGTTTGCATTTCCTCCCACCACCCAAGTCTAAAATCTTAGTGCCCCCTAATGTTGAAAGCAATCTTTTTACTGTTCGCAGAAAAGTAAAATGAATGAGACTTGCCCATGCAAATCCAATGTTAGTAAAATTTGACTTGGGAACTAGTAATGAGCTGTTGTTGTGAGGAATGCAAGTTTTATGAACATTTCTTTGAAGATCTATTAATCTCTATTCTTACCAGCATCATTCTGAGCTTAATTCATCTTCACTTTTTCTTCATATTCTCAATAGGTTTTTATTTTATGCTGTTTCATCATTTTTTGAGGCATTGGCTGAGGTTATGGAATGGATGAAACTAAATTTTATAATCTAAGAATTTTGTTCTGTATTTTTTCTACAGTACACTATTTAATCATCTTGAAATTATTCTTTATTTTTCCTTTGCATTTTTATTCTGAATTTCAACGAATACCTTATTTTCTCCAATAAACTTCTTCAGCTTCCCCTTCTTTTTGAAAAAGAAAAAAAAATCAGATACACAGTTTGGTTTAATATAAACTGGACTATAGTTTTACATGTCTCTCAACCTTTTCCTATCAAACTGTTTTAATAAAAGATTTCTCAGGGGCCAATTTTCTTAGGATGCTAGGTAAATTCTTTCAGAATTTCAGTTTATAATCTGATAGTGTTGATGAAAATAGAACAGATCAAAACATGTTCATATTCTCACCAGTTTTGTTATGCAAATACATTATTTTGTATAAAATTTATTTTTCTGGGATTGAGGAAATCTTATAACATTGCAAAAGTAGTTATAAAAATGCACAAAAGAACAAATCTGGTTACCCACTTTTCTAGGCAACAGTCATGAGAAGGAGGGGCCCAAAGAACTGAAGAGGGAGGAAGTAAGTAATGAAGAAGCTACAGCAAGTGGCATTAGTGTACCAAAGCCCAGTGAACAATCTGATAATCCTCATCAATGTGTGACCGAAAATAGAAATTATATGATTTTCCAAAGTCCTCCATGTAAAATAAGCATGATTCTCTTGGTCTGCATAGTAATGCATGTTTTTTGTTTTGTTTTGACACAGGACCTATGCAAGGATGTGGTGGTTATCTCACAGGTTCAAATGATACATTTGCCTCTCCTGATAGTGATTTCAATGGAAGATATGACAAGAATTTAAACTGCATATGGTTCATAGCTGCACCTGTAAACAAATTAATCAAACTCACCTTCAATACATTTGCTCTGGAAGCAGCAAGTGTTTTTCAAAGATGTCTTTATGATTATGTAAAGGTAAGTGATGATATTTCTTAACAAAATCTAGTAAGTACAAAATTGTGAGTAGTACTAACCTTCAAAGATATCATGTATAATATTACAGATGTGCTATCTTCATATCAAATTAATATTTAGTATGGATGCCTTCCATGGCTGCTAGCTTGAGCTTAAGATTCACTATTCCTTCATGACTTGTCAGAGCTGTCATGTGGGAGATGGGTAGGTTGGGCAGACATACTCAAAGGACTTGTGGTAAATGCTATACTTAATAATTTCTGCATATAATCACCCCTTAGTTTTCTAGCTTGAAAATTATACTTATATATTTTTCATAATACCTTTTGATGTGAAAAATATACTTGTCCTGAATTCTCATTAGAAGTAAATCAAGAATTTTTTTTCTGTTTATTTTTAAATGACTGTTTAGTATCAATCAATCTATCAGGCTATATTAATTCAGATTAAAAATTATAAGTAGTACCAATCAATATATACTACTATCCTGGGAAGGGAAATAAAAAATATGGCAAGATTTCTGCCCTTGAGGAATTTAAATCTGACTGAACAATTAAGAAAGGATACATGTAAATCAATAATCAGCATTGGGATAGTCAGCATCTAAATGCTAACTAATGCACTGAATCCACCCTTAAAGCCCCATGGAAGTTTAAAAGGGAGAAAAGTTCACACAACAATCTGATATAATCAAAAAAGTCTTCATGAAGTGAGGGAAAGTTGGTTCAAGTCAGGTGAGAAGACATGGTTAATAAAAATAAAAAGGCATGGAAGTTGGAATGTGCATGTTCTTTAAAGATTCAACAGGCTGGATTCATTGAAGTACAGTGCTGGTAAAGAGTAGCAATAAACAAAATTACCTAGTTAGAGAAATACCCAGATTACAAAGGCTCTTGAAAACTCCAACTAATGAATTTAGATTTTATGCAGTTGTAAGTAAGTGATTGAAGGCTTTACAGTGAGTGATATGGTACAAGCAGTTTTTAAGATATATATGGACCCAGAATTCTTGGTGGATTATAAAGGGGCAGTCTGGAGTCAGAACTTGAGGAAATGTGACCAGTAAGGGGGCCAGAAATTGGATGTTATAGAGATGGTGAAGCTGACAAGTTTGGTGCGAACAGGAGCTTTTAAGTTCAAACATTGTTGATTTTATAGCTATCAGTTTTAAAGGATAGGGTAGGGAAAGCCATAGATGGAATATACATTCAAGTACTCATTTGTATACCATCTTTTCTTTTCACTGTGATAAGCATTAAATCTGGGATGCTAGAAGATTGTCAGTACTTTTTGGAGGAGACTGTAGGATTGCTAACTATTGGTTTGGACAATAGCAGATAAGGGCATGGCTGTGGGCAGGGACTTGAATGGTATTCCAGCAGGACAATAGCTTAAGTAGAGCGAGCGTAGCCAAAGAACATTTCTTTCCATCTGAAAATATGATGCTTTCTCTGAGAGAGAAGGATGGAACTAGAAAGCCGCTCCACTTAACTGCAGGAAAGGTGCCCGGGGAGCAGTTGGTGAGGACAGAGGGGGCAGAACACTAAGCAATTGAGTTGAGGGGGGCGGGAGGGGGGATAAAGACCAAGAATAGTGGAGCTATCACTGATGTCAAGGGACAGGATTCTCTTATCAAGGACATGCAGTCAATACTATTAAATTGTAAATTAGAGGCCAAGAAAGGTTCAGAAGAAAAGCATAATCAGGTTGGCTGACAACCATTTAAGTAGAGTATTGGCACAGAAGCCAGAGCAGAGGCGCTCACAAAAAAACTAGAGATAAGAAAGCACGTCCATTCAGGTTGGAGTCTTTTTTAAAGTGAGACCAAAATCGCCAGAGTAGCAGTGAAACTAACGCTCAAGACTGATCCTGATTTTACATAAAATAAAAAGTTTCAGGACAGGTAAAATGGACTCAAATCCAATTTTGAAACTGTAAATTCTCACATTTCCTCAATTACTCATTACTTTATCTAGTAAAAAAGAAATCATATAATCACATCTACTTTGCAAGGCTGTTTTAAAAATAAAGATTATATATGCTAGAGTGTTCAGCATACATTAAAAGAACAAGTTTGCTGCTTTTATTCCCACCAGACAAGCATGAAGGCTATGAAATGTCCTTTTCTTAGAATTTGAAAAACTAATTTATGGGGTCCTCCCGGGTGGCCCAATGGATTTAGCATAACACTGGGAAGTTGTCCACAGCTGCGTTAGCATGAGTTCGGTCCCCCACCATGGAGGTGACCCACATGGGCCGCAGACCTCTCCAGGCTCACCCTCTGCTCCTCTCAGGAGTGTACTTCATCAGTCTGCCTGTTCTGCTCCCCACTCTGTGTCTGGTGAATCCTTTCACCCACCGCACCTCTGGCCTGTACCCCAGTTCTTATGTACATAAATAAATAAATCTTTTTTTTAAAAAAGGTACTTTATACAAACAATATTATAAATATAAACTTATATGGAATGTTTTCATTGTGATCCTTCTAAGGGTGGGGTAGGGTTGATCAGATTTATCCCCAAAGTCCATTTGTATGACTGTGATATGATAAGCTCACTAAAACAATTAGTAATTTCTGAATTCCCTTAAGTCATTTAGTACAGAAATAGCAATATCAAAAACAAGAATTTTCTAGTTTCAAAATGAAATGTCCTTTTAAAAAAATGTTTTGTCCTGAACTTCATTTGTTTTCTTTCTTGGGAAAGCAAGAATGCTAATTGGCAACTTTTCAAGTTTATTATAAAGTGGCAAGATCAAAGAACAATCCAATCTCGGGTACTTTTATTAAAGAGATTCTCTGTGATAAATGGTACAGTTGATTTTTTTTAGATTGTTTCTCAGATATTAAATGGAATTGCATCTTAGAAAACCTTATTCGATTCAATATAGCAGGTAAATATATCCAAGTGAAAATGTGCCAATTCCATTATTCATTCATAATTAGATCACTATTGTTTTTGAAATGGTTGGCTGGGAAAACATTAGGATCACTGCAGGATGCAGTGAGTTGTGTATTTAACTGAGCAGTTGCTGTTGAAAGTGAATAACATGCTTTTCCTAAAGAGACATGTTGCATAATTTTGTGCAGGGCATGGTATCTAGCATGGAAGATGTAGATTGTTAGAGATATGGTTCCTCAAGAGGCTCTAAAGCAATGAAGACTGACATGCAAGCATGTATGTTATTGACAAAATAAGAAATGTGAGAAACAGAGAAGCAGGGTACACCTGACTTCATTTGAGGATCAGAAGTTTCCTACATGGAAACTTCCTACATGTGCCTACTGTAGGAAGAGAATCACTAGGACATGCTTTCTGTGGGAGCTGCCTACCAAAGGAAGTAAGGATGTTACAGGGCAACCCCAAAATGAAATTGGGTGACATTTGTGTGAGTCCTTACCCATACACTTAAAAAAAACTTAGGCCAAAACTCAACTGCAAGTACACAAAGGCTAATAAAAGATTTATTTTCAAAAGGGAAAAGGAAAAAATGAAAAGGGGGGAACCCAGGGAGAAAGGGAGATTAATTGGTGAAAGCTTTCTACCCATAATGCTGTCTGAGCTGAGACACCACCACCCCA